CATGGCCCTATCTATTTCAATAGTTAATATAAAGTTGTCAATATATCAGCTCTGATAAAATTGAATGAAAAAAATATGAAATAATAATCATTTTAACTATTTCTTTTTCAATGTTCTTCGAAGTGCCTTGGCACATCTGCACAAACGACATGCTAAGAGACCTGAGAATAGATCCGATCAAAAAATACATAAAGGACAGAGCCCTGAAGTTATATGCGAAAACTGACAGGCTATCCTACTTAGCACTATCTAATCTTAGAGAAATCACTCTCCGCACGGGGAGGTACGCAGATCTTAGATCAATCACTGAATAATCATGAAGCATATTTTTCAATATTTCTTAGTTTTGCTCTATCACTGTTAACTCAAATTAAATCGTATATATATATATTCAATACACACTAAAATTTGAACCGTTACAATCCTTTTTATAAAGAATAATCTAAAAAAAAATTATACTACTAAGTTTACGTAGATATGGAATTAGAATACGACAGATTATGACAGTATGACATATAGTATAAGGGGTGGTAGCCGATTTTGGGATTCCTCAACCTATATAAGATTATCCTATTATAATTCGGATTTTTCACTTTAAATTAGTTTTCAAAATCCCCCCTAATGAGTCTCTATATAGAAGCGTGTATTAGTCTTATATAAACGATCAATAAGATAACATTCTTTACATACTTAAGTTGCAAATAAAGTACATATTGCTCATAAACAATAAAAATGATTTAAAATTGTAGTTAATTCCTTCCTAGTAAATGTTTTGTTATATTATATATATAATCCATGTTTAATATAATTAAATAATATTGTTTAGTTAAAATATATAATATATTAAGAAAAGAGTTTAGGCAAAAGTTAACAAAACATATGTATATGTGACCAATGTTAAATAAAAAATTCTACATTTAGGCAAACTTTTTGATATATAAAACTAAGAATAAGCTGAATATATACTATACTTTGCCATATACGGATAAAAATATATAAAAACTGTTGCTTTACGTACACACATCCACACATTTTTATAAAAAAAAATCTCAACTTCTGTTTAAAATAGGTTTCTTGTTAATTTATTAAACCCGTGTAATCCAATATATAGAACATATGTTTATAAGATATATATGTATATGTATGTATGCTAGTGCAATAATGTTATAAATATAAAAATGTGTTTTTAAAAAAGTGCGTTTTACATTTCTGGCTTGTAAATTTCAATAGAAAAAAATTTTACTCCATGATCTTATCATCATCGACATCGATTTTTTCAGGCCCTTTTTCTTCTTCAGTAATAGAGTCATTGGAAACGATTCCAAAATGAACATCTTCGCATCCCTCGTTCGGCTTTTCAACGTTACAATCTTGATTTTCCCCAGAGCTTATAGTGGAAAAGAGTAGTTCTTCCTTAAATTCTGAACGTCGTATCATATGTACCATTTTGGGCATCTTATTTGGCGGAGATCCAGCCACATACTTGAAATTAAAGTATTAGATAATATTAGTAACTGTATATAGTATATAGTGTGAAAACTCGCTTAATGAATAGACACACCTTCAGGAGAGACAAATTTTTTTTACAAATTATTGGAACAACATAAACCGCTACTGGTCGAACAAAAAGATAGTTCTCAAAAGAGTTTTTACTATATTCACAAGTTATTCTAATTTGTATACTCGTACAAAGAAATAAACAAACCTTTGATGCAATTAGCTCAAAAATTTGTTTTGAACTAAAATCATTTTCAGTTGACGAATCCGACGAATCTGAAGAGTCACTATCAATATGCATATCTCTCAGAGCGTTCAATGTTGACTCAAAACAGGGTAGTTGCAATAACTGTGGGGCACGTTCCATGGCGGAACGTTTAAGTTGTTTAACGCGCTGATAGTGTTGCATCAGTTTATTAACTTTTTCCTCCTGTTGGCGTTGATAATGTGAAGGTGGTGTAGTATCAGCTATACCGAAAAATATTGCCTTAAGACGATCGGAAAATGCACGATCGATATATTCGAATTCGCTTGGTGTAGTAGCACAATAGCTGCGCTTGGTAGAACTATTTGGAGGTACACAATTATTTATAATTCTGAAATATTATATGAGATTATGAAGTCACTAACGTAATAGTTGTTTGAACACCAGTTGGGCTGGATGCAGTTGTTGTTGCTGGTTGCTCTTCACTCTGGACATTCTCAGCTTTAGCAACTGGTGAATTAGTGAGCTTGTCATAGCAAACGAAGCAAACAGGTGGAGGATTGCTACTCAAGCAATTAACACAAAAATAATGTTTGCAATAGGAACAATTAAACTAGAGGTATAATTATTTAAAAAAAATTTTATATAAAGAATTTAAATAATTTAATTTAAATTAGTATGTTAATATTATGTTATTAATTTAATATTTAATTATACTCACGACTTTGCAAAAGATGCCAAATTTCTTGCTGCAGATATAACAATACATATTTATTTTTTTCTTTAAGGATTTTCACAAGCACAATTTAAACTTTAAAAAAATTTCTAAGCCAAGCACTCAATCCCAACTTCAAAATCAAACTGATTAACTTCCAACTACGCACCTCAAGCGAACGACCATCTTGCGCGCCGTACTATTTTCGGGGTGTTAGCGCAACAGCAGTTATGCATGGAGGTTTTTAGGTTGACCATGTGGAAGTTTGCAAATTAAATTCATTTAATTTGCATTACTTGAACGAAATATATTTGAAAGTAATGTCTTTCGTGAGCTTTATACATCTATAATAAAGATTGATTTTATTTTTAGGTTTTTAAGTTGATGTACTTCAAAGATATAGATGCTTTTCGGTTAACAGATATTAATAGTCCTCATTCGTCCTTCGTAAAAGTGCCTGTTTACAATCCATTAAATTATAATAGAATCTATGTTATCCCGTTTTTAATTAGTAAATCTAGGGTACTATTTTTAATCAAGATTCATTTTTAATGCAATGTTTATTTTCAATTGATAAATCTCGATAGTCCTTATTCGTCCTTCGTAAAAGTGCCTGCTCACAATCCATTAAATTACAATAGAATCTGTGTTATCACGTTTTCGATAATTTTTTTAATTAAGATTAACTTTTAGTGCCATTTTTCTTTTCGATTGGCAAAATGTATAACACTTGAGATTAATTTACAACACTCTAGATATTTTGCCAGAGTAGCAAGATTACCCTGAAATTAACAACTGCTTCATATTAGTTCACAAATAAAGTATGATTCGAATCGACATATGTATTTATAATATATACCTATATACATGTATGTATGTTTGCGTGTATACCTGAGTTGGTGATTGATCACCTTGACTCTATTGTATCTGTGGACAGAGCCCTGAAACTATAAGCGAAACTCGACAGTCTCCCCTACTTAGCACTATCTAATCTCAGAGTAATCACTAACCGCACGAGGCGGTACGCAGATATTACATCAGTCGTTGAATAATCATGGTACTCTGCAGAAACCTCCAACTATCAAAGAGTAAAATTGCCCAGATGTACTAACTCGGAAAAGGCTCAACATAATAATACTAAGAATAACAGAATACGAGGGCTTTATAAATAAATGCCTACTAACGTCACGTTTGGGCAATAAAATTTGACGGATCGGGAATAACTCCAGATTGAATCTAGATTTTCGAATCGAAAACGACATTATATTTATATTACATTAATGTAAACTTAAGAGTATAACAATTTCTGTTAATTTTAATTTCTGTTATAATTCTACTGTAATTTACTGCTATATGATTTTCTGTTAACTAACATGAGCTTCTGTTAACATAACTTATATGAATTAATGTTAAATTCACTAATCTGTGTTAATTTATGCATCTTTTTTGTTAGTTTATGTGATTTTCTATTAACTGAAATAAATTATCGTTAACTTTGCTTATTTCTGTTAAATTTTGTATATATCTTAAGATATAAGCTGTCTTATGTTAATCTTTCTTATGCTAAGCTGTCTTATGTTAAGCTGTGTTATGGTAAGCTGTCTTTTGTTGAGCTGTCTTATGTTCAGTTGTCTTAAATTAAGTCGTCTTATGTTAAACTGTCTTATGTTAATCTTTTTTATGCTAAGCTGTCTTATGTTTTACGGTTTTATGTTAAGTTGTCTTATGTTAAACAGACTTATGTTGATAGAGCTTATGTTAATTTAGTTTATGTTAACTATTTTTAAGAAATGATAGGTTTATATCAGCAAAACTATACGTATATGTATGTATAGAATTTGATCATACAGAGAATTACGTCTGATGATGAAACAAAGGAAAAATTTCCATGAATTAAATAACTTCAAATAAAAAAAAATTTGATTTCAACATAAACTGTTAAAATAAACAATCGTAAAAATCAGTAGATTTTTTCAATTTGTTTATGTTAGTGAACAAAATTGATGAATGAGAAAAATGCTGATTTAGCTGTTGATGATGATGGAATGTTTTATCAAATTTGTTTATTAATTCCTTAAGGTTTACAAAATATAAGCAATGATTTAAATAAAAATTAGTTTAAAACAATAAGAAAAATTTCTTATATTTTAGAAAATAATGTTAGATTTGTATTTATTGCTAGTATATATCACAAAAAAAAAAACAACAATCATATAGAACAAAAATATTTTTGCTAATAATAATCTAATAATATAAGAATAATCTAATTTGATAGAACATCATTTAAGTCTGTAAGTAGAAAAAAAACTTTTTGTCACATTAAATGGAGCAAGAGATAGATATGTTTAAGCGTGACAAGTAACTGTTAAGCAATAGATCTGCATGAGGGAGTCGGCGTTCTTCCTAAAAAATGTTAGACGGGAGCCTGTCTGAACCTTGTTGCAGGACAACCTTGAAGTGATTTAAGTCCATGTATCTAAACGATCTCGCTGATGTTAGCTCCCTTGCAAGGCTATTAATATCATTACATTACATTGCATTCAAAAAGGATGATCAAGTATATGCTTATAGTCAATATTTTTCGTAACAAAAACAACATTCATAGGAGTTTTAATTATTTTTATTTGCCAATTATATAAACAAATTAATATTATGCATGTTCCCTATTTATAAGGTACATGGTACATGGTGAGTATGATGTGTTTATTTAAATACTGGCTATACTGCTTTGCAGAAGTTCGTAAATTTCGTTGTTTGTAGACACGTACGCATAAACATTTAAATTTACTACAAAATATACATATAAAAAATTATTAAAATAAATATTTTTGAAATATTTAACAACAATAAATATAAAATAAAATATTACACTATAAAAACTTAATAAGCTCAAAAATGATTTTCCTTAAATTTTGGTGGAGCAGAGTAATCTTCCTTAGGATGCTGACGATACTCTTCATCATCATCATGACATTCATGATAACATTGTCTACAAAACAAATCACCCTCGCAGCCTTTACAACGGTAGACAGCATCCTCATTGCAAATAATACACCAAGGTAATTCTTCCGTTTCAGTAGGTTTCATATCAGTTTTTTCGCCAGAGTTATTCAGCATGAGTTCTTCATTTAAATCAGAACTTGTTTCTGGTAAATTCGCTTCAGCTACATACTAATATTAATAATAAATAAAAACAAGCATTTATAGGATATATAATGATAGTTAATTTAATAATACCTTAGCAACTATACTTTTAATAACATCTTCAACATTTTCCTCATTGTCGCTAGGTGTATTAGTGTTTGTCGATTGTGTACTCTCAACTGGTGCATCTCGTAAGGCACGCAAACGTCTTTCAATATCAGATATAGCGTCTTTACGTTCATTTGATATGCGCTGATCAACTGCACTTTCACCTAAGAAGTTTTCTAATAAATCATTTATTTTTTCTTGTTCAGTTCTTTGGTCAGTCTGCAACAGTAAATCTTTTTTATCGTAGTTTTTATTATGTGGCATGCCACTTAGATTTGTAAGCCGAGCGCGTATTTCATCATCTGAACTTAAATTATCTACAGTTTTCAAATCTTTTAAACGTTTAGTGATTACACTATCAAGATTTTCATCTATCTCTGAGGTATTTGTGTTGGAATGTGTTTCTGTTTTAGCAGTCGACACGCTTGGTGCTAATATCTCACCTAATGCATCGGGTGGCAAGTCGATTCTGTTATAAAGGCAATAAGTTAATGTAAATATAAATTTATCAATGTTTTTTTAGTTCATTATCTTACTCAAACAATGAATCAGCAGCGACAGCAGCAATTCCAGTTTCAGATTTTTGTTGACTCAACAATGGTTTGGTGACTATAGTGCCGGGTAATGCCTCACAATCGATAACTTTTTCTGTTGCCTGCAACTTCGAGAGTTTATCGTAGCATATTAGGCAGACATTAAGAACTTTACCACCTTGCCGTGGAACTGCCATTGGACGTTTTAGACATTTTGCACAATACGAATAACCACAATTTGGGCAGCCATACTATATTATTAAAAAAAATATTGTTAATTATTTTTTTAAATATAATTAAGGATTTTTTAAAATTCGTACGCATATAAATTTTCATTTTATTGTACCTCTTTAGTAAACATTCCATATTTTTTGCTACACCCAAAACAAGACATTTTAAATTTATTTTATTACAAAACTTAATAACAAATGGTTTAAAGATTCGTGTTTAAATTCATAAAATTGCTAATAAAATGCATAAATGTGAGAATTTTTTTTTGCAATAAAGTTCAATGTACACAAAAAGTTCTTAATCTTCCACAACAAAGTGGCCCACATCAGCTGTTTTTTTTTCGACAAGTGAATTTTGTAGACTTTACTGTTATGACAGCGTACAGACTCTCCACAATTTTGTTGCCGGGTTTGGGATTGTTTAAAAATAGTATATCATTTATCCAATTAAATAAAAATTTAGAATTTATAATATAATTAATGAATTATAAATGTAAATATAGGTGTAATTCCTTTTTGTGTACAATACACTAGAGACAGAGATTTTATTAGAACTGGAAAATAAAACTTACAACAGAATTTTTTTTTGTGTTTTCATACTTTATTACAAATGCACATTTAATTTATTATTAAATAAAAAGTTATTATTGTTCCTTCAAAGTTTAATTAATAGTTTTTTTATATAAATAATAGTAAAAACCTTGAGCCTTTACAAATGTATTTTAAAAACTTATATACATAAAATTTACAATTAAAACCTTTAGGAATATTTAGGGTTGTAAATATGTATTTTTAGGAGAAATATATATATATACATTTTAAAGAAAAATATATATATTTTTAAGAAAAATATATGTATATGTTTTAAAATCTATAGTTATAAATAGAAACTGGGAGAAATACTAAAATTTCTCCTATTCGTTGATCTTAAGCTTAAGCCGTTTATTTATTTCGCTTAATTTTTTATTTTAGAATAAACTCACCATACAATCATGGGCATAGTTAATTGGGGCAATGTTTTTTCTTTAACATTATGACCGAAGTAATGTTTAATAATGAAAAAATGATACATTGGAGTTGGCTTTTTAAATACAAGGCGATTGCAAAGGTATGAACCTTTGTATTTGCAAGCAATCCTGTGCAGCAGTTGAAACCATCTTCCAATTTGATGACTTGTTTTTTATTATAAGATAAGTATATATCAATACAATATAAATCAATACAATATTTATTTGTTTGTCAACTTATTGGCTACGTCTAGTAAATTTAATTGGCCACAAGATTAAGGATTAGTTTTATAATCCAGTCTATACTTCAAATACAGACAAGTCGAGTTTTATTTTAATTTTTGATTTTATTTTGATTTATTACTAAGTATAAGCAATCTTAATACAAAACTATTAATAATTATTAATTATTCTTTGTACATGAGTAGGCATAAGTAATATAAAATAATATTGTCTACATAATAATAATGAAAATTAATATACCAAATAAATGTCGTAAGCAACTCATTTTGGAGAAATTTTTTTTTAGAATAAATGTTTAAAGTTAATTAAAATAATGTCTTTAATTTTCTTAATTTCTTTAACAATAATTTTTATTTATCAAGTTTAACAGACTACAAAGTCAAAGGGTTCAGTTGTAGTTAAATAACTTTTTAAAATATTTCGTAAATGAAAAGCACAAGAAGTGCTTCGCTGTGGCATTGTAGTTTGAGATGGTAGTGGTGTTGTTTCTCTCCAAGTACCCTTAATATGAGTTCCATTTTCCACGTGATCTACCAAATCCGTTGTAAAATATAAATCATCCTTCTCAAGTATTAAGAAATTATGTAAAACAACTGTTGCCAAAACAATTTTATCAATGTTTTTAGGTAAACATTGTATCGGTTTTTCAAGAATACGCCAACGGTGAACTAAAATTCCAAATGCGTTCTCGATTCGTTCCGTAGCTGCAGATAATTTTTTATTGAAATTACTTCTATCTTCACTTAAGTTATTTCCTGGAAAAGGTCGCATTATGTGTTTTCGTAGCGGAAAAGTATTATTCGCAGCAAAGAAATAGGGAAATGGGACATCAGTATATGGCAAATTACTGTTATCTGGAATTTGAAATGTTTCATTGAAAATCTCACTACCAAATCCATTTCTTGTAAATATGCCATCATCCTGTTTATTACCATATCTTTCAATATCCACAAATGTGAAGGCATAATTATGATCACATGCTGCCAAAAGGATATGACTAACCGCTTTACTATATTTCAAATTAACATTTTCACTTTCCGCAGGGCACACAATTGTAATATATTTTCCATCAAGTGCTCCTAAACAATTTGGAACTCCAGTAGCATCATATATTTCATCTGCTATAATTTTTAGCTCATGAGCACTCGGTGGAGACATAAAAGTATTATTCAGTTCCTCCCAAATGATATTGCAAGTTTCATAAATAATTTTACGGGCAGTAGACAACCCAAGTTTGTGATTTAAGGCCAATTCTTGAACGCTACATCCACTAGCCAAGAAACTACGAAATAATAAAAATTATATTTTATTTAGGTTTATATAAATTATTTAATCAATACATACATCAGGGTTAACGATAAACGAAGAGATGGTTCTATTGGTTTTCTTTGCGAATAATGCTCTAATCGATCTTCTAACAAATGCAGCAATGTATTAAACTTTTCTACTGTCATTTTGGTTTTTTTAAAGAACTCTTCATTATTATTTTCAATTAATGATTTTGTCACAGTTTCATAAAAACCATCAGTGTCACGATTTAGATTGACTGGCTGCACCCACCATCTTCTTCTATTGGATTTTAAATAGGCATCATGTATTTTGAAAGTTGTATCAAAAATTTTAGTTATGCCAATTAAGAATTTCATTTTTTTATCCATATTTATTTAATTTGTATTTTTTGTACAAGTAAATATAGGCGCCAAGCAACAAACAAGTAAATGTCAATAAACCATGCAAAAATCTTTATTTACGTTAAAACTTTTTGATATTTATATTAAGCGACCATTTGAAAATTATACGTTGATTTATTATACATATTATTATTAATATAATAAATTATTACTTTGAGTTCAATTCAATGTTTATTTATTCACTTTGCAAAACCTTAACATATGACGCTCAACATGTAAACAAATGAACTATCAACATTCAACTGTCAACTGTCAAAATTTTTTTCTCGCTTTGATTGTGTTTTGCGATAGTTCGCTTATTTATATTAATTGAAATTTGGCACGAGAATTCACACTCAAAATATACTTTTGTATAGAAATATGTTTTATTAGTCTATTTTATTAGTATTTATTATTAATTAATTAATTTATTAATATAGTTAATATAGTTGAAAATTAAAATATTTACGTTCGTTTTTCATCACAATTCATGTTTACTACATCTATGTTCTATGAATTGTTGACTTTCAGTTAGCCGCTGTATTAATTTTTAATATTCATAGTAAAAGAAATATTTTGTATGTTAATATATTTAAATTAATCATTATTAATCAAATGTAAATTGTTAAATTAATAACAATATTAATTATATATTTATATAAATTAAATATTAATATAATACATCTATATTGAATGTTAGAAAAATATTTATATAAGACAAGTTTTTATTAGCACTAATTTTAATAATAGTTTGATAATTTAAATAGTGATTTAATTATATTTTGTTTTAGTTCATAACAAGATCACAGCACATATGTTGTAAATTATTTTTCACGAACAAAAAAAATATTTTGAAAATTTATATAAGTTTACTGTAGAAATTTAATTTCGAAAGTTTTACGAATTTACGTAGTTGTGAATTTTAAAATAAAATATTTTTTAACATGAACATATTCAGTTCTATAACCTTACCAGTTAAAAATATAGCAGATAACTTATTACTTACTCATAATCCTTACTCTAAGCAAGAGAAAGGTATTGACATGCTAATAATATTTTTTCTCGATTAGTTTTATTTCATAAGTAATAATTTAATAAAGAAATTGGCATTAAATGGCCGGAAACTATCAGGATAATTACACAGGTATCTTACAAATATAAAGCCGTTTCATATAGTCAAAAGTTTTTAAAAGACCAAAAGTCATTATTTTTACTATCTCACTTGAATTTTTGTTCAAAATTTATTTTATCAAAGCCCGTTTTAGTTCATTTTTTAAACCTTGAAAGCAAAAATGAAGAAGAAATTGTGTATTTTGCTTAATAAAGTTGTGTTGTGACCGAAAAGTTTCCGGAAAATTTTAAATAAAACGCAAAATTCTTAATCTTCATCAATATTTATTTTATCTCATTCAAAATATGCTCCATTAGAAGCGATACACAAATGCCAACGTTTCTTCCAATCATCAAAACATTTTATAGGCGCTTTCCGGTATGGCTTTGAGTTCCCTCTGCGAATTCTGTTTTACGTCTTCTATGGATTCAAAACGCGTTCCTCTGAGTGGTAATTTGAGGTTGGGAAACAGGAAAAAGTCACACGGTGCAAGATCAGGTGAATACGGTGGCTGTTCGATGGTATTTATTGAATGTTTGGCCTTAAAATCGTTGATAATGTTGAACAAATTGAGGTGAATCGGAACAAGCCGGGCGTTGACACGTCGCATACACAAATTGTCCACCAAAATCAAACGAGCCATCTCACGACCGATGCCTAGCTCTCGTGCTATCTCTCTAACACTCACATGAGGATTTTTGAACACGATTTCCTTTGCCTTTTCAATGTTTTCGTCGGTGGTAGAGGTCGAAGGTCGTCCAGAACGCGGCATGTCTTCGACGGTCGTACGACAGTCCTGAAAGGCTTTGTACCACTCATAAACTTGAGTTTTCGATAAAACTGATTCCCCATAAGCCTTTTGTAGCATTCGCAACGATTCTGCACACGAAATTTCGTTCGAAAAACAAAATTTGATGCAAACTCTTTGTTCAATATTTTTTTCCATTGTTTTTTTCGCAACGCACTACTGAGGTGAACTGGTTTCAACAGCTGCCGTAAACGAACTGTCTGACAGATCGCGCTCATGTTTGGCATAGTAATTAAGGACAGTGCTGCCAAACTACATAAACTTAAAATATCGAAAAATATACAGCGCGCGAATTTTAAATGAGAATTTCCGAAAACTTTTCGGTCACAATGTAAGTCGTACTATTTTTTTTTTTATTAAAATTGTTGGTCTTTTATAAAAACATTGTCAGTTTGTGTTATTAATGTGAGTGTTCGATGAGTATATTGTCCCTAGGCATATGGATGTGGCGTGTGCTTTTAAACTAACAACCCGAAGAACATTTTTATGGAAACATTAAAGCTATTTGAAGATTTCTTAGGAGATTTTTTTGAAAATTTCTTTGAATCGACTCTTAAAAGTCAACATTAATTATGATATTCGTCAGAAACAGCCTTTATTATGTGAGAAAAGTATGAAAATGTGTAATTTCACAATATATTTTTGCCTCTCTGTTTTTTTCATAACAACGAATCGCTCAAAAACTTTTTTATTATTAATACCATAATGGAAATAACCAATTAAAAAATATTTGTCTCAATGGCTTAAAATACATTTCCTTCTTATCAATTTGAAACCATAAAACTATTAAAAGAAATCCTCACAATATATTCTTTTGCATACAATTATAAAACAATGAATATAATAATTAATATTATAATCAAATTGTCATCTTCTAGAGCAATGGAAAAATAATGGATATAATAAATGGAATATGTATTTATACTTATAAAATGATGTATTTTTTAATTAATTAGTTACCTAAAAAAAAATTTTAAGTCCTGCTCAAAATAAATAATTATAGTAAGCAAATCAGTTTCTGAAAAACATTTATTTTTAATTCAAATTAAAATTAATATTTTCACTTTTTATTTGCGTTTAAATATCCATCAAATTCATATAAACAATTTGCATTTAAATGTTATCTCAGAATTGCATAATATTTATTCAGTAAATATTTCTGTTGGTTCCACTTAACCTCCACAGTCTTTTTAAACATGTAAATAAACTCTGAGTTTGCGTTTCAGTGTAAATTTACAATTATTTCCATATAAAATTTTACTCGTTTTTCCTTCGTTTTGCAGTGTACTTAGAGTATACAAAACTTTGCTCAAAACTGGCAGTTACTTGGAATGCAGCGTGTAAACAAGCAAATCAAAAGTCTTCCAAGTAATTTTACACAATTTATAAAAAAAAACTATTTTAATAAATATGAAGAAAAATATTATGGAAAATAATTTCTAGACTTCATATTTTATTTATGTCCCTTAATTTGCAAAAATTGCGAAAAATCGTGCATTTCTTCATTGCTGCTTCGGAAGCGCTTTCACTTTCATGAATGAACTGTGGCGCTGAATGGCCAATGGAGGTGCTAAATGCCAAGGTAAACAAACGTATCGTCTCGGTGTTAATTGTGCTTCAGATTAGACATTTTTATTGTTTAAACACACAACTTAATAATCATCTCACAAATCATTCAAAAATAGCACAAAATTATGTTTAGATAAAAAAATAAAATTTCTTTACACATTTCATACTTTATATAAATTAATTTAATTAATTATAAAATTTTAATAGAAGAATTTAGATCATTAAAGAATTTTAATTATTTCAATTAAAATATATTTGAGTCAATAAAATAACATAAAAATAAAAAAAAAGTTCAGTAAAAACGAAAATTCATTTCACAAAAATTTTAATATGAAACATCACGTAGCTTCGTAGTCATGAAGTTCAAAGATCTTAGATACTAAACAGAATATCGTGTTAATTTGTAAATTTAGTTTTTAATAAAATACATTAACACTGTAACGACCTTTCCGGCCTCTACCGCGGCCGGGGTATACTCAGCGTATACCAGGGTTCAGTACAAAACCTGGTATACGCTGGTAAACCTGGTCTTAATTATTATATAAAAGAAACTTAACTCGGAGTACTTTCAAAAAAAACTAAGTAAATAAATAATTAATGTAATAGATAACAGTATTCATTTAACATACTTCAATTAATTATATTTAACTATAATGGATATTCTTAGAAAATTAAATAATACTTCAAAAAAAACTAAGTAGGTAGATAATTAATGCACTAAGTAATTCATTTAGTTATTATTGCTATTCTGGCAATTTATGCCTTATTGTTGTTAACGTTCGCGCCATTGCTACTGTTGCCGTCGCCGTTGCTGTCCCAGGTATCAGTTTGATTTTATCACATTCAATGCATTCGATAATTGATTTATTGATATTAAAAAAAAACGTTCATTTGATATATATTATTGAAATATAAAAATTGTTGGATGTTACTCTTTTCTATTGTTTAATTTCGTATTTATAATTTAGTTAGTAATATTTGAATTTCTTTAAACACTTCATTTGGTTTCCTTTGTGGTTAATAATGTAACATATTCTGCGGTAAAGCAAAGGCACTAGAGATGGACATACGTCTCAAAAAAAATTCGGTTTTTTTATATAATATTTTTTCTTTATTTAAAATACTTGATAGTTGTTATGGTATAAAACACTGTTCCAGAGTATAAATTTATATATTAACAACTTCACGCCGCTTCCGATAAGAGTTTCATATATACATCTTTTTTTTTTATTTTTCTTGTGTATTTCTTTGCGGATCACTGAAGTTAAACTCTGTCATACATTCTGCCCGTTCCGTTCAAGAAAACTCAACCAAGAAGACCGAAGATCCTCCGAATGCCCGAAAAATAATTGAAAACAACAACAATTTTGCTCAAAACTAGCCCATGACACTCTACATAACATCGTTCTTATATTAATGAACAATTCTTGTTACTTATCGTTCAAAAATAGCAATTAGTTTTCAAGAACAACTGATTTTGTTCTATATATTATATATAGAATGTTGTTTTTTAAATTATTATAGTCTAATTTGACACGTCTTATGATAAGTTAACTAAAGAGGAACTGAAGAGAAAGTTTGAAATGTTTGAACAGTAATGAAGCAACAACAACATAAATTTTAATTAATTTATTGAAATTTGGCAAACCACATAACGCTGTTTCGAGGAGTATTGCTAACTACTCATCATCAGTGATCTTTAGCAAATATTCGAATTTTTATTTAATTAGTTTATAGTTCGTATATAATTTGTTGGACTGCAAGTGCCAGGCTTAGAACTCGTGCCTATCAAATTAGAAACGATGACTAATCGTGTTGGTTTTTGTTTACTTCGTACAAAGTTTCTACGTGATTCTTCGTTTTTTGGTTGCTTCTTTATATTGAATTTTTACGAAACATAATAACAATGAGAATAATAATCTATTTATTCAAAAGTTGGTGTGCAGAGCATATCCATCGAAAAAACCAGCTTCAAGTTAATTCCATTAGAATAAACTGTGAGATAACCTTGTTCATGATGTGGATCATATGACAGATGAGTATATATGTATATATTCTGTGTAAAATATCAAAATTAAAATGTAGAGTATTCTATAAGTTGGTAACAGTGTACTTAGTCCAGTTTAATTTCATTAGCCAGTAAATCAGCCTACTTCACTAGTACATCAGGATTCTTATAGTAAGCTGAGCTTAAATTTTAAGTTGCAAAAAAATTTGTGTTTTATGATTAGTTAAATACATAAACAAATATTTATGATAAGGAAATTTCATTGAAAACATTTACTGAAAGGCGAAATACACCGCACATGCCTATATTTATAACACTGCTCAACCGGTAAATATCGGCTGATGTACGGGTATTGGATGAAATATTTTGTGGCTACTAATATAGATACTGATTTGGGGAATATCCAAAAAGTTAATAATTTAGAAGAGATCTATATTCCCAGAAACGGTAAAAAAAATTCTACGTTATTAGAAGCGAGATTGCTTGGGTCGGATTTCGTTATGAAATAGCGACATTTTATTTAAAACATCAGTAAACTATAGAGATATTCTTATATGCTAAGAAAAGGTATTCGTCTAATTGACAAACATGTGAAAGTAGGAAATTTTTTGTAGACACAGGTTCACCACATTAGACTGTGAAATAAATATTTCAATAATTTCCACAACGACTCGGCTTAATACTTTTTGCAAAGCAACTAATGTAGGTCTTGTTTTCTCTTGAACCTTTCTATTTTACCCAGTCATTCGATTTCCATTCCATACAGATAATATTTTTAATTGAAAAGTACACAAATCGTTATCGTAAACAAAAGTGTGCAAATGATGTCAAATATCTAAAAACAATTTATTTCTGCGTAAACGATTTTTAAGATAATTAATTCAGTGTTGTTTTTACTTATAATGTTTATATAGGGCTTAAGTTCCATGTATTCTACGTAGATATTCTTATCTTTCTGTGTTAATTACTTAGATCTGGGCTTATCTAACCACATTATTTTTAACTTATTTGACTCATACGTACAATGTAGGCGATTCAGCAGTTTTGTCCCTTAAAGCAAGTAGCTTAAAGATAAAATTTATTATCTCATGTAGTATAATAAAATTTTAGATAAAAAATAATTAAAAATTTTGTTTTTCAATAATAATTTTTTTTGTTTCTTCGCAGATAAGTCAAAGTACGAAAGATGGTTTTCAATTGGGTTTAGTGTACATTACGGAAGGCACTCATTTGCAATCTTTCCATTTACAATTACTGCAATAAAGTAATTCCGTCCACATAATAAACCTTTTTAAAACAATTTAATTTTTTTCGAAAAAAATACAAAATGGAAGTGTCGGAGGATGTCGATAATTTCACAGTGCCCAGCATATACCAGCATCCAACCATGACCGAATATTACACACGTGAGTTATTTACATAATTCTTTTTGTTTTTTTTCCCTATGTATATTACAGATGTACGTAACGTTTTACCTTAATTTTTTATATTTACAGATCTCACACCCTTCATAACGCTTTCGATTTTCATTTCGTCATTGCTCTTAATTTTGAATATTGCCATTTTTTGTACGACGGTCGCGAAACTACGTCAGCGTCTGACTAAGCCACTGCTGCATCTATCGATTACGATGTGTTCCCTATATCCGATTGTGTCCGTAGCTGCTGTAGTAACAATACTCGTGCCAAAGGCGTGGCTCATCTGTCACACCGTCATGCATTTATCTTTCACTGTGGGCGCACTAGTTTTTCAGCGCTTATGCTTCCGCTATGTTGACAATGAAGTGAACTATGTTAAGGAAACAGATGGAGCTGCTGTAGCTATCAATACGCCACCGTGTTGCTGCTGTTGCATGTGCTTACCGGCTGTGATACCAACGAAAGCGAAACTCTGCATTCTGCGCTACATGGTCTGGCAAATGCCTTTTGTGCAAGGAAGTATTATGCTCGTATTGAATGGCATCTACTATAAGGAACGGGTAAGCCAGTACTACAATTAAACGCAAATTGTGTTGATTTTTCTGCTAGATTCTGTGCAAACATCGTACACATTTGTTCTTCTGTTTTTTTAATCTGCAGGAACTATACACAAATGTTGCAATCTATTTCATACCATTCATTATATGCTCGATATTGATTGGGCTTTGGGCGCTCAACATCACAGTGCGAATGGTGAACAGCGTTCATGCTGAATATGGTTTAATGGTACGATAACACAATTACTTCAATATATATATATATTTTTTTTTGTACTATTGCCCTTACTAAATACGAATTTATGCTTTAATTTTTTTTTATTTTTATTTTTTGTAGAAGAAAATGTTTTCTCTGCAGCTGATTTTGATGCTGGGTAAACTACAGTATTTAATTTTGCATAGCCAATTGGATGGCGTTATTATGGGTGGACCTTACCCCATCAACCATACAGTATACAAACAAAGTAAGGATGTGATTTAGAGGTTCTTTTGATACATTTATTACCATTTTGTTTTTGTATTTCAGCAATAATAAATCTCTTGATTTTGGCAGAAATGGTGCTCGTGTCTCTGTTAGCACAAAGCGCTTACAAAATTCCAGTGCAAATCGCTACGAAAGTTAATGATACTTAAATGCTTTAATTTGATAGTATTTAATAGTTTAATTTCTTAAACATGTGATATTGTTTTATAAACAAATAAAATCGAGAATACTTTTTAGACAAATAAAAAAAAAAAATTAATTTAATCCCTTAATCCCTTAATTTATTTCACAAGTACTAGGCGAATCATGGCAATGCGCAACTATAACAAAAATTGGTATACGAGTACGACTATATATACATGTTCGTAACGGCTTTTTATAGAAAAACTGGTCATGTCGCAAGTGTACCACTTAAACAATCTAAAACGGTCAATTCTGAGTAGTACATAACAATTTGTTTGTCGTATCTTCCTAGAATTAAGAAAAACCAACCGTTAAAGATGGTTTGAATCCACATATCAACTTAAATAAAGGAGTTTTTGAATACCTAAGACGTCGAATTGATGGGTAATATAGTCACGACTTGGCACCTGAATTTTTCTTGTTTTTTTTTTACGCCTGAACAGGTTGTCGAGACATTCAAACCCTGATTTCAAAGATAGAGTGGCAAAACTCTTTCGAAAATTTGTTCCATTGAATGTTTGAAAATCAATCGAAAAATGTGTTGATCATCATGAAAATACTTCAAAAAACAATAAAAACATTTTCACTGATTAACCATTGTGTTTTCATTGTTAGGGGCAAGACTTAAAAGAAAGCTCTAGTATGCATGATAAATTCAGTAGATGATCAAGTTGAGGTAGCTATAAACCCAATGATTGAACTTTTTTTCAATCTTCTGGAATAATAGAAGTTGAATTTTTACTTCATAAACATTCAAACAAATTAATTTTAAGTTATCATCGGAAACATTTTAGATATATTGGAGTGTCACATTATAAAGATGGCATATAAAATGAATGAGTCCAATATAAGGATTAGATCTTTGGCTACAATCTTTGATTAACAAATCATTTTGATTGGGATTATGTCAAA